GAGAGGGGAGGGGTGTTTCTAAAGCAGAGCCAGGAAGAAAGCGATGCACCACGGAAGGGTTTCAACTGTAAGGAGACTGCGTCCTCATTAGGAACGAATTCATTAACGTGCCACATCAGCTGCAGGGAGGAAGGAGGAAGAGCGTAATTAATTATGACTGCTCAGATGCGGTGCCAGATTCGGAGGAGTCAAGAAGGAAGGTTGTGTGTGGTTTGGGCGTCTTCAGATGTGTCCCTCCGAAGCGTTGGCAGCTCTGGGAACTAACTTTCCAGGTGACGGATTTGAGCGTTCTTCCTCTTTCTGCAAGGTCCAGTATTAGCTTATTGAGCAATGAATTCCTTTCTGACCCGCTCACCTATTCCCGGGAGCAAAAAGGAAGTCAGTATTTGCTTTTCCAGCAAGGTCACGGATCACCTGACCAAGTCCTCTAACAGCTGGGAAGCAGACACGGCTGTGTGAACACGCAAGAGCAATCAGCTACACTCCTGCAGTCCAAACCTGGCTTTCTGGGAAGGAGACGAGTCCTCCCCGCTCCGGGCTGTGCAGGGGGAGGATGCAAGGCAGGTAATGTGGGCTCAGCTTTCCTCCCGACTGTTTTCTCTGCTTCCTGATGCTCCAGATTCAGCTGCTGCAATGCAGACAAAAATGACAGACACTTGCAAAAAAGAAAAAAAATATGGGAATGGAGTTAATGAGGTTGTGTTAATGTGTCATTTATGGAGCATGAGTTATCTCTTTGTTTCTCAATTTGGCGGGAAGTGAGCCCGCTGGAGAACTCGGTGGCAGAATCTTTTTCAGGAGCGCATCTCACCTCCCCTGGTGTCCCGGCTTCAGCCCTCTCTATGTTAAGAAGCGACTGTCAAATGCGTCCTGCTTCTTAGCACAGGGAATCATTTACACCTGGAAGCTTGGGGTCCTCCGATGGGGAAACGGGAAGCGCTCATCATCTTCACAGGATTGGTCCAAGGTATGGGTGTATTTTTTTTTTTTTTTTTTCAGTTTTGGAAAGAGTGTTTTGTCTTTTTGAGTGATCAGGCGGGGACTGGCAGGGTTGCTGTTTGGTGTACTACCTTGCTAAATATTTGACTTTGTGAGGTTGAATTCTCTAAGAATTCTCATGGCAATGAGGTTGTGCTTTGAGCCAAGCTCTCTTTTCAAGGAAATCCAAGGTGCTATTTATTTTGGCATGCAGCCTGTTCTGGGATGAAATACAGCATTTTTATTATTGCAGAATAAAGAGAGGTTTGAAGAAAACAAAAGTGCAGAACCAGGTTTCAATTTCAGGACTAAGTAAGGGAAGGTTTCTTCATGTATTTGAATCTGAGGTTAGAAATGAGGTTGAAAATGGCATCATAAAAGGAATAAATGTGGAGAGGAGGAGGGTGTGGGTGCATGCTGCAGGAGCAGGGCTGACCCGGGAAATCCATGCTCCTGAGCACAAGGGTGGACCCTGCTGGAATCGTTTCTCACCTGGCCTGGGTAGTTACACGTGAACCATCAGTACTGTCTGCCAGAGACTGCCTCTTGGTGGATTTTGAACAGGCAGCCTTGGTCCCCACCTTCTCCCTGCCCCGTAGGCTTTGAAAGGCACTATGGGATGATGGAGTCACACAACTGGCCTGCTCAGATTGGCCACATAGACTTTTTGTGCCTTAGTTTCCTCATTTGTAACTGGGACAGGATTGACTGTATGAGAGTGAAATAAGAAACTATACCCAGTACCTGATTCCCAGAATAAGTGCTTAGCACCTGTTAATTTCTTTCCATGGGTTCTTTCCATGGGATTTGAAGACAGATCATTTTGTTAATTCAAGAACCATGGACCGAGTGTCTGCTACGTGTTAGACATGGGGAGTTGGGGTGACACAGGAAAGAGTCTTGCAAAAATTCTGAGCTTCACAAGCTCACAGATTAGTAGGGGAAAAGAGCTAAGGAGAGACAAAGCTACATACACTCAAAACATCTAGACTACGATGAGCTAAGGAGAGAGGTTGGGCCCTAACTAGGGACCCTTGACTTTGGGATAGGACATAAACAAATGAAAAGTTACATGTCAACGCCAGGTATTAAAAGGTTCTGAATGCTGGGGAGACAGCTTAACAGAATGAGTAATAAATGGCTTTATGTCAAAGCTTTACGTGCTTCAGAGGACTGATGTAATTTAATTAATGTTGGATTTTTAAGATTTGACATTAAAATATTATTTATCTTAAAAAAAAAAAGAAAAAAAAGCTTTACATGCTCCAGAGGGTTGTAAAATTCCATTTTGAAGGGGAATTCTGTCCAACAAAGCCATTTTCCCATTCTGTTGTATTGCAAACAAAGTAGCATGTGTTAAGGTGGCAATTCTTCTTTCCCACTCTCCTAACCACATCAAAAATCCACCCACTTGAAGGAAACCCCCTTAGCTAAACTCCAAGACATCTGCTGAAGGAAGGTCCATGGAGAAAAGTGTGGAGAAGGTGGCGGTAGGGGCTGGCAGTGGCGACCTGTGCACCTGACACTTCCTTCCTTTTCTTCTGGTATTACGAGCCCCTTCCTCAGAGAGTGGGAAGTCAGCTCCATTTAATTTCTGTAGCCTTGAAATGATTGGTTTTAGTAAAATCCAAGTCTAAGAGAAATTTCAGAGGTCTCTACAGAGTTCTTTTTAATGAAATTCGACCTAATGTGTGCTGAATAACTCTGACGTCTCATGATCTGATACACGATGAGCTGAATTCCCGATTCTAACCAGAGGCAGGAAGTGTGATTGAAGTCCCCAGGGTGACCATGAGAGTTTGTGCGGCCCGAGGTCTAGCTGCACCCCGGTGGCCCTGTCACTCAGTGTGCAGCCTTAGAGAAGCAGAGCTCTCCTGTGGCCCAGGAGGCCTTACAAGAGAGCAGTTCTCCTCTCCATACCTAGAAGGCTTTTCCTGTCCACTGTGGGAGAAACAGAGAAGCATCAGTCAGAAACATTTCCCCTCACAAGGAGAACTGGGGGTCACTCATTGCATCACTGAACTGGGCTGGCTTATAGGTGGCACAGGTTTGCAAACCAACACAGGCTTGCATTCAGCTAGACTGGGGGGCAAATCTTGCTCCAACCCTTGCTTGTTGTGTGACCCCAAGCCGGCCTGTCAGTGCTCTCAGCCTCAGTTTCCCTACCTGAAAAATGGAAATAATAATAGTCCTCTTTGGGTCATGGTGAAGCTTGCCTGAGATAATTCACGAATGTGCTCCAAGCTCTGCGTGTTGCTCAGCAATGCTGTGGGGGAGGAAAGGGAGGGAGCAGGAGGAGGAGGAGAGGCAGTGATGATGCAGACCAGGGGCCAGACTTAGGGTTTGCTTTTGCACCCTTTTCTTCCCCAGGCTTCACCTGCCAGCATTGCCCACTGCGGTCACTGCAGAGCTAGGGCATTGAGAGAAGCAGCAATGTCCTCCCCTGGGAGTCTTCTCTTTAAACAAGGGCAAGCCTCCCTCGCCCCAGGTTAGAACCTTCCACTCAGCTCCACTGCCCCCGTAGCAGCTGCTTGGCAAATGGGCTGGAGGAATGAAGGCAGGAAGCAGTGCTCACAGAAAGAGGTGATGCTAAACTTTCTGCTGGGCAAACTTTGGAATTTCTCTCTTATTTGGCAGCTCTCATGTTTCCCAGCCCCCCTCTTCACTTACTTGTTTGCTCCCCTTCCTTCCATCCTGGGTTGCTGGGGGCCACCCCTCATCTTTCTCTTTCACCCTATTTCCCTAACCTTTCCGTCATCACTGGTTCACTTTTCTGGTCTGGAGTTCTTTGTCAAGCCCATTGGAATTCCGAAAACAACCCTGCTTCCACTGCGGTGGTGTCACAGACAATTCATTATTCTGATGTATGTGGAGGTACAATCATAAAAAGCCAATTTCCTGGGTGATTTATTGTGATGGGAGCAGGAGCTAGGTTGTTTGCCATTTGAAGGAAGGGTCCTGGGAATGGATTAAAACTTTGGGGAGAATTTATGGTCACACCTCCAGGTACACTAATTCAGAGTCAGGACAATATTCTGCTTGAATAGTTACTGATGTCTTCTGGCCACCCAGGTTGAACTTCCCCTAGTTCTGCCCACAGTTAGAAATCACCTCCAAGTATCACTTCCTTGTCAGTCCTTGCAATTCTCTCATCTTTGTCTTTTATTTGATTGGGACATCACACATCACTTATAGGTACTCTGATTCCAGCTATTTTCACAAAATGGATTATAATGCTCTTACCAGGATGGGGCTGGTGGATTTCAACTCTTGATGTTATGGAAAGAGCCCTGTGCTGGTTGTCAGGGCTCTGGGTCTGGTTCCAGCTCCTTCACTAGTATATGCTGAGAGACCTTGGACAGAATAATTGACTTCTCAGCCTCGGCTGGGCGCAATGGCTCACGCCTGTAATCTTAGCCCTATGGGAGGCTGAGGCGGGAGGATCACTTGAAGCCGGGAATTCGAGACCAACCTGAGCAAGAGCAAGGCCCGTCTCTATTAAAAATAGAAAAATTAGCTGGGTGTGGTGGTGTGCACCTGTAGTCCCAGGTACTCCGGAGGCTGAGGCAGGAGGATAGCTTGAGCCCAGGAGTTTGAGGTTGCTGTGAGCTAACCGCACTCTAGCTTAGGGTGACAGAGCAAGACTCTGTCTAGAAAAAACACAGCCTCAGTTTCCTCATCTGCCAAGTGAGGGGGCTGGGCCAAATGGTTCTTTTGGTTGGACTATTGCTCACATCCCATGAAGTTACACCCACTCCATGAAGTAACACCCAAAATGGGGCGCTAGGAGTGTGTACAGGCTTTTACTCTCCCTCCTTGGAGGGCTGTGAGCTCATGGGCACCCTGGGAGAAAGGCAGGGATGGGCGCTACTTTCTTTGGTGCCGTGTTTCCTCAACACTTATTCTAACACTAATGAGACTCTCCATTTCTCTATTCTTCTTTCTTTCAGAACTCTCGGACGAATTTTACAGACTCATCGGATGCAGAGTGGCTGAGAGACTGAGGGTCAGCGCTCCCTAAGATGGAGAAGACCAATGGTAGGCAGCTGCTTTGTAGTCCTGGCTGAAAGTAAGCAAGGGGGCTGGGAAGAGACTGTTACCATAAATCCTGGCAGGAGCCATTCCCCAGGCAGGCAGTCCTGGGAGGCCCACACCAGGTATTGCAGGTATGACCTAGAGAAGGTGGCAGAGAATGAGAATGAAGCCTTGCCTTGTCGTGAAATACGAATTTGTTCTTCATCCCTATTTCCTAGCGTACAGCCCCTAAAAGCCTCGGAATCTCTTAAGTGATGTGTCTTTTCATACGCTAATGAGATGACTGGTGGCTAAGCCGGCAGCGCCTAGGAAGCTTCCGGATGGGGCTGGTCACAGGAAAGACCAACACAGGATTGAGGGGTGCGTCTTTTCATCCTCACCTCCCAGCCTCTGGGGAGGAGAGAGCGGCTGAAGGTTAAGTTGATCACCAATGGCCAATGATGTAATCAACCATTCCTATGCAATGAAGCCTCCATAAAAACCCAAAAGGACAGAGTTTGGATGAGCTTCTTGATAGCCGAACACGTAGAGGTTCCTGCAAGTTGGTGTGCCCGGAGAGGGCATGGAAGCTGGGCACCCCTTCTCCCATACCTTGCCTTTTCTATCTCTTTATCTAGCGTTCACTGGTATCCCTTATAATATCCTTTATAATGAACCAGTAAACAGAGGTAAAGATTTCCCTGAGTTCTGTGAGCTGCTCTAGCAAATTAATTAAACCCGAGGAGGGGGTTGTGGAAACCTGGATTTATAGCACAAGGAGAACAACCTGGGGCTTGTGATTGGCATCAGAAGTGGGCAACATTCTTGGGGACTGAGCCCTGTGGGATCTGAGGCTATCTCCAGGTAGACAGTGTTGGAATTGAACTGGAGGACACCCAGCTGGTGTCTGCTGCAGAACTGATTGTTTGCTTGGTGTGTGGAGAAAAACCTACACACAATCGGTCACGGAAGTTTTCTGTGTTGATTGTTGAGTGAGAATATAGGAGAAACTGAGTTGGTTCATTCCTATATATTCTCACGCCTTCCAAAATATTGGACTTGTGCAATTTTCAGAGTGCCTTCTCATCTCATCCAAGCACCAAGAAGGGAGCAGGTGCTCTCACTCATCATCCTCACTCTACAGATGAAGCACAATATGGTGAAAGAGTTCCCATTCATACCTAGTGACCCTACCAGTCATTTAATGTCTCTGAGCCTCAGTCCCCTTATGCATAAGTTAGCTTTGCTGTGTAACAAATAAATAAAAAAATTTAGTGACTTAAAGACATTATTTCTCAAAAGAATCGGTAGGTTGGTAGGGCCATTATTCTGGTGTGGGTGGGCTCAGCTTATCTTTTCTGGGCTCATTTACATGTCTGTGATCTTCTGGGTGACTCGGCTGGGGCTAGATGGTTTAGAATGGCCACACATATGTCTGGGGCATCAGTAATGACTTGGCCATGTGTCTGTCATCATCAAGGAAGCTAGCTGGGGCTCGTTCATATGGTGGCAGAAGGGTTGCAAAAGACACACCCCCGTGTGCAAGCAATGTTCAAATCTCTGCATATGTCACATGGCTGTCAACCCACTGGCCAAAGCAGGTCACAAGGCCAACCCCAGGATCAGTGTGGTAGAGGAGTACCCCAAGGGTGGGGTATTATTGCAGCTGTTTTTGCAATCTACCACATCTCCTCTATAAATGGGTATTAATACTAGTTCTCGGGATTGGTAAAGAACTAAATTAGATAATGTATGTAAAGTCGTTGAGTAATAGCTATCTAGCACAATGAGTGTCTCAACGAATGTTTCCCTCTTCCCCTCCCCAGGAGACCTGCTTAAGGTCATAGTCTAGACCCCAATCTCCTGACTTCTAATGAAATGTTTTTTCCAGATTGCCTGGAAACAGGAGAGCCTATAATCCCCCTTGAATCACGTGTCCCTTCACTGGCACAGGATTTAAGGACCAGACATCAGCTCCAGCCCTGCCTCTTCCTTTCCTCCAAATGCAGTTAGCTTATATTTCAAGAGTCTGCCTTTCTCCCCAGAGAGCTGCCTTTTCAGTGCATCTCTGGCAGTGGTGCCACAGAGCACCCGATAATTCCCTTAATGCCCCAGGGCCCTGTCATCCTGCCTGCCTGTTCCTCCCTGCTCAGTACCCTGCTCGTGGCCCTGGCCGCCACGTGATTGCCCACAGCTAGCTCAAGAAGGGTACCCTCCCCAGGTACACCCACACTTGTCTGACAGAACAAGGACAGAAGAGGGAAAGGCTTCCTTCCCTGTCTTGGCCTTTTGAAAAGGTTCATTTCCTTCCCCTTCTTTCCAGCTTTATTTTTAGCCATTTTCTCTCTGGTTTCTGTTTTTCCCATTTCCTTCAGAAACTGAGCATAGGCTTTTGAACTTCTCTTTCTCACTTTAAATGCCTCTAATTGGTTCACTCACCTGCTGTACCTCACTTTGTCGCCCCAGATAATTACTTTGGCACGCCCTTCTTTCCCTTCTTTCTCTGTCCGTGTGTAACTCTCAAGCTTACGACTGGGCTTGCAGGGCCTCTGCAAGGTCTGCTGATCTATTGTGCTTTCAAGCAAGACTCCATAGGGAATTCCAGGAAGCTCTGAGCCTCCTGTATCTTACTTTTTTCTTCTCCCCTGACTCATTTTCCCAATTTCTCCCGAATGATTTTCTTGGACTCTCATTCCTCTTGAGGCTGTAGTCCTAACAAAGAGGGACAGGACACATCCTCGGCGAATCTTCCCCTGCCCCATTCAGAAGTAGCCATCCCTGCCTTCAGAATCCTTTTTTGGGTACCTGCTCTGTGCCCTGTTCTCTACTGCATGCATGCTGATAGCCACAAGAACTCTGTAAGTGAGGTGTGATTATTTCCATTTTGCAAATGGAGAAATTGAGGCACAAGGGAGTGAAATAATTTGCCCAGAGTCACACAGGAGATGACAGCCAGGACTCAAATCCAGCCAGTTTGGCCCGGTGTTGGTTTATCTGATCTGAACTTCATTTTGAGCAGAGCCAGTCCTCCTAATTAATTCTTGGCCTGGCCCAATGCCTGGAATTCTGAGCTCCTGCCTACCTGTCACCAGGTAGAATTAATAGGAGCAGAGCTTCATGTGAGGGTAGGTCTCACAGCATATCAGCTCAGGCTCCCTCATCGAAGTCCAGCATGCCTCTTGCACTGGAAGAAAGAGATGAAATGCAGAGTGGGGGCGGCAGGCAGGGTGACCTGATGGATCTGTGTGTTAGTAAGAGAGAAAGAGAGAGAGAGAGACCCCACAGTGCTAGCTTGGGAAAGCACCTTTTAAACCTGTCGTCCCTCATAGCTGCTCAATCTCACTTCCCTTCCTCTCCCTTGTGGAAGATTTTGCCTTTGAATCTGCTGTTTCTTACTTGATGCTATTATTGTATTTGTGCTCTGGACCTGCTCCCAGGGACCCCTGGGCAAATCAGTACATTTCTACTGAATTCAGACACTAAGCAGATAAAAAATGCAGCCTCTCTTTTAGGAGTTCTCTGTCTTCTGGGTCATAAATCTGCTCTCTGCTTAACTTTGGACAAGTATCTCTTTTCTGATTTGGCCTGTCCTTATAATCCAGGAGGCTGCTGAGTGGACCAATAGGTCTAAGAGTATAGCCAGGTACAACTTTGAAAACTAACAGAAAGCAATAAAAGATATTGCTCTCATTTACTGAAACTGCCAATGTGCTTCTTTGGCTGGGGGAAGCAAGTTGGTAAAAAAAAAATCATGTAGGTGAGTGGGAACTTGTTTGGAGTTTCTTTGGGTGCTAGAGGAACATTTACTCCTTATCCACCTGAAGTCCAGGTATCTGCCGCAGAAGCCCTGAAACCCAAAGGAGACCATCCTGTGGATCAGCACTGAGCTGGTTCTGTTCCCTCCTGTGGTTGCAGCATAATTGCCCACAGGCCCTGTGGCTTTACTTGGCATCGATGGCTTGCAGCCTCCGTGGTGTCCGTGTTCGTGAGTTCAGACTTCATGTGTCCAGTTGGTGTCGTTTCGTTCTTTGGAGGAGCTGTACTTCTCTAAGCACAGAGGGCCACAAGGCAAGCATGTGGCATCGGCCAGGGGAAGGAGAGATCAGGCCAGTGGGAAGAGCTCAGCCCCAATCTGTCATCGCCCTTAGGGAAATGCCATCATTTGCACTTTCCAGATCCCCAAGTGTGGCCCCTTGACCAAATCCTTTAGTTGAAGGATTTGTTCTGTAAAATTTGGATTCGGTCAAAAGGCCACAGGTGGCCCCAAGGCCGCAGGTTCCACACCCCTTTCTCTTTCCCTCCCTTCCCTCCAGCTTCTCCTTGACCAGGTCAGCCGCCTCCCAGCTGGCCTGTGGGCTTGTGGTTTGCTCTTCTTCTCACCCTCTGCAAGATGCTCTTTTTGAAATCACATTCAACCAAGTCACTCCCTTACTTAAGACCCTTCAATGACTCCCCTGACCTAGAGAGTAAAGTCAAAGCTTGTTAGGGTGCACACACGTTGCTCCCCAATCTGGCTTTTGCTGGCCTTTCCAATTTTATCTTTCTCTTCCGTTCACCCTTCTCTACCACACTTTTTAAGTTCTGGCCATATTGACTGCATTGCAGAACTCTGAAATACTGTGTGACTTCATACCTTCATGCCTCCGCACATTCTCTGACAGGTGTCTAGCATGTTTGTGGTGGCTTTTGTGCATAGCAAACCACCCCGAAACTCAGTGGCTTAACACAATAATTTATTATTAACACAGGCTCAGCTGAGTGGTTCTTACTTGGGGACACTCCTATAGTTGAAGTCACATCATGGGTGAGAGCTTTTCTACTCATGCCTGGCGCCAGCGCTAGGATGGCTGGAATAGCTGGGGGCTAGATGGGCATCTCTCTCCCTCTCTCCACGTGACCTCTCTCTGGGGCTATCTGGGCTTCCTCACAGCATGGCAGCCTCAGGGAAGTTGAACTTCTTACATGGCACTGAGTGTATATTCTAAGAGACCCTGGTGGAAGCTACAAGGCTTTTTATGACTTAGCCTTAGAAATCTCAGCATCACTTCTGCCACATTCTTTTGGTCAAAGCAGCCACAGGCCAGCCCAGATTCAAAGACCTAGAGAAATAGATTCTCCCTCTCAATGTAGGATTAGCTTGCTTGTCTAAAGGGGGTAGGAATTGATGGTGGTCATCTTAGAGATAAACCATTACAGTATCTTTCATTCTCTTGTTCTGCTGGCAGTTTCATACTTACTCATTTAACATCCAGTCGTATGTCACTCTTGTGGAGTCATCCCTCTCCTGCCAAGGCAAAATTAGCCTCCACGTCCAAGAAAATAATTCCGGAAAAAGAAGTCAGGAAAGAAGACTGTACCTTGAACGGGTTTCCTTATCATACTGCACTGTATTTGTTTGTGTCCCTCCTACTTGACCATAAATTCTTTGAAGGCAGGGGCTGAACCTAATTCATCTTTGTGTTCTTAGGATCTAGTTTAGCAACAGACACATAGGTGCTGAAAAAATAGTGGTTGAGATAAGTGAATTGAATTACAGCTATTTTGTAATTTCGCGCCCAGAGCCTACTACCCTGAGAGCCAAGCAATCAGTCAGTCACAGACAATTTGTAGAGACCAGGCAGTGAGTCACATGAATTAATTTCTATTAGGGGACTTCAGTTCTCTTTACTTGGGGCTTCCACAAAGATAACTATTAATACAATATTGAGCATGTATTGAATGCTTACCATGTGCTAGGCATTGTTCTAAGCACTTTAGCTTTAGTATAAATTAGTCCTTACAGTAATCTTATCTCACCTATTATTATTCCCACTTTGCAGATGATGAGACACTAGGGAGACTAAGTAATTTCCCTTAAATTCACAGAGCAGAGAAATAGAACAGGCTCCAGAACCTGAATCCTTTTTTTTTTTTTTTTAAGACAGAGTCTCAACTCTCTTGCCTGGGGCGAGTGCCGTGGCGTCAGCCTAGCTCACAGCAACCTCAAACTCCTGGGCTCAAGCAATCCTACTGTCTCAGCCTCCCAAGTAGCTGGGACCACAGGCACGCACCACCATGCCCGGCTAATTTTTTCTACATATATTTTTAGCTGTCCAATTAATTTCTTTCCATTTTTTGGTAGAGACGGGGTCTCGCTCTTGCTCAGGCTGGTCTCGAACTCCTGAGCTCAGAACGATCTGCCCGCCTCAGCCTCCCAGAGTGCTAGGATTACAGGCATGAGCCACCGCGCCCGGCCCAGAACCTGAATTCTTAACCTCTATACTCTCCATGAATGTTCTCTCCTGAGCTCAGAATTTTCAGAGCCTGTTTAGCAGAATGTCACAGAAGTAGAAAGGGGTGTCCCATTAGGAACATCGAAGGAACAAAGATTAACTTGGAGAAGAGGTTACTTGGAGACAAGCCCCTGTGGATTCAAACAGTCGAAGGACTGACTTGTTCTCAGTGTCCTCTGTTGGAATCAATAGGTGGGCTCTGCAAAAGATCAATGGTGCCGTGGTGTAATGGAGAACTTTCTCATCATGATGTTTCCCCATAGTTTGGGTGTCCTGAAAAGGCGGGCCCCACACCTCTGGGAGCATATATGCCAATGTCCCTTTTGACATTAATTGGCCCTTTTCCTTCAACACCCTTTTTCCAGTCTGTGATAAATGTGGTGTTTCCTTTTTGTTTTGTTTTGTTTTGTTTTTTCTTTTTTTTTCATGGAGTTCCTGGCCAAAGGAGGTATTTTCTTACTTGGCATGGGTTTTTGAGGGTGAAATTGGTGTTCGGTAAGCACTAAGCAGTTTTCAGGTGGAAGGAGCGTAGGCTGTGTGTGGTTACTTGCTGTGGTTCTCTCTGATCTTGGTGTACCTGAGGCTCAGGCACCCGAGCAAGCTTAAATAATGCAGATGGCGTAACTCATTGATACCTCCGGCTTAAACAAGATTTACTACTTATTTGAGTAATGCAAGTTACTTTCTTTTTTTTTGCAAGTTTCTTTTTTAATAGTGACATACACATGTGTATCTCATCCTTTAAAACCTTCCGTATCTATCTGTTTCTTACTTGATGCTATTATTATATTTGTGCTCTGGACCTGCTCCCAGGGACCCCTGGGAAAATCAGTGCATTTCTACCGAATTGAGGCACTAAGCAGATAAAAAATGCAGCCTCTCTTTTAGGAGTTCTCTGTCTTCTGGGTCATAAATCTGCTCTCTGCTTAACTTCAGCCAATTAGTACCCTGATTTGGCAAATTTCTGGCTACTTCAGTTCAGCAATTATGTGACTCGACCCCCCCAAAAAACAGCATGAGACAATTTTGTTTTGCAGGTCTGCAGGCAGATTCCACAGTAGTCACTCAGATTGACATATTGCAAATTGGAAACCATTCCCTCTACCTCTTTCCTTGCAGACACTGGCTAAGTACACATTGATTTAATAAGATGATTTCCCAGGACAGCCAAAAAGACTGAGCATCGCAGCCATAATTTAGAGGCTCGAACACTTAGGATAAGTCTCATGTGACAGTGTTAAGTCAAAATCACAGACATTAGGCCTCATGGCCCTGTAATTCTTAATTAACTCTGTGCTTTTTTTTTTTTTTAACTTGTCTTATGTCTCCCAGCCAAAGACCAGTCTTCTCAGGGGGATGAAGAGAAAGACCCTCCAAAGAGCCACCCTTACTCTGTGGAGACCCCATATGGCTTTCATTTAGACCTGGACTTCCTCAAGTATGTGGATGACATCGAGAAGGGAAACACCATCAAAAGGATTCCTATCCACAGAAGGGCCAAGCAGGCCAAGTTTAGCACTTTGCCCCGAAACTTCAGCCTTCCCAACAGCGGGGCTCGCCCCCAGGCCGCTCTGCTCCACCAAAACTGGTCCCCAGGGGTGCCAAGGAAAGTGTCGCTTGTGGCACAGGAGCAAACCCAGTCACTGCTGCCTGGTACTGCCCCCCAGGCGGCAGCCAGCGGGAGCGAGCTGAGCTACCATCGGAGGGCCGTGTTGGCAGAGGCCACCAGACAGCTGGAGGCTGCTGCTCCAGAGGACGCTGAGCTCGGCTCCGGAAGCGGACGGCCCCAGCTTCTGCGAGCGTCCAGCATGCCAGCCACGCTGCAGCAAAGCAGGGCCTCCGAGGAGCCGAGCCTGAGCTCAGGTGCCCCCGCGCCTCCCACCTTCCCTCCACTTCGCGGCGAAGGCAGCGTCTGCGATGGCGCCTTCGGCCCCGCAGAAGGATTCGCAGGTTTTCACAGCTCCAGCCCACGAGCGTCCCCGCAGCCGAAAGCGCGAGAACTGGGAGAGCCGGTGCCGGGAACTCTGGAGCTGGTCCGGGAGGGAGCCGAGCCTCCGGAGGGTGGCGTGACGGCTCCCAACCACCTCTGCCTCCCAGCTCCTCCTTCCTCGTTCCCGAATGCACTTGTAGGCCTGGAGGATGCGGAAGACGAGCGCGAAGCCAGAGCAGCAGAGGTGGTGGTCTCCCCGGGCTCCCCCACGCCTAGCCCCCCGCCCCTGCCATCGCCCATCCCCGAGAGCGAGCTGCCCCTGGAAGAAATCGAGCTCAACATCAGCGAGATCCCTCCCCCGCCGCCCGTGGAGGTGGACGTGAGAAGCGTCGGCGTCAGGGTCACCGAGGAGAGCCTGGGCCTGGCGGGGGCGGGTGCAGGCGGCGTCTCCAGCCTGAAGCAGCAGGTCTCTGCCCTCGAGGGCGAGTTGTCTGGAAGAACCGAGGAACTGGCGCAGGTCAGGGCTGCCCTCCAGCAACAGGAAGAGGAAGTGAAGGCCAGGGAGCAGAGGATTCAAGAGCTGGAGCGCGCTGTAGCCCAACTGGAAGAAAAGCTTAGCCAAGAGACCGCCAAAGATGCTCAGGGCCAGGCTGACGCCACGGTCAACACTGACCCTCTCCATGGACTCTTGACCAGGGAGTCATGTGACAAGAGCATTGAGGTCAACCTTCTGGGCATCACAGAATCTGAAAGCTGGGGGGCCCAAGGAGGGGAGAATGGTCTCCTATGGGGGCAAGACAGTCACAAACAAGGGGATCAGAGCCCAGCAGAACACGTGCTACCACCCCAGCTGTCACTGCTGCAGGGACCAGAGAAGGTCCTCTCCTCGTCTTTACATAGCTGCCTCTCCACCGAGCTCAGGATTGAAGAAGCAGGCACAGAGCAGGAGGAGGAAGGCCCTCAGGGAGGAGCCGAGGGCCTGGCCAGGGGAGCAGGAGGCTTTGCGTGGAGCAGTGACAGAAAGACTCCCCCAGCAGGGAGGCAGGAGCCCAGTTCAGAGCTCCCAGGGAAGGAGCACCCGGAAAGGCCACCAAGCTCACCAACAGATGCCACCCTTGGGCAATATGTGAAGAAGATCCAGGAGCTCCTGCAGGAACAGTGGAGCTGCCTGGAGCATGGGTACCCGGAGCTGGCCAGCGCCATCAGGCAGCCAGCCTCCAAGCTGAGCAGCATCCAGAGCCAGCTGCTGAGCTCCCTCAACCTGCTGCTGTCTGCCTACTCGGCCCAGGCCCCCCAGCACAAGGAGCCCCCGGCCCCCTCCTCCTCTCCACCGAAGGGTAAATACTGGGGCCTGAGACAGGGAACCATGTCTCCTCTACACCATGAGTCAGAGGGAAAAAGGTTCTCAATTGCATGAGTATGATTTTTAGAAAGATTTTAGCATCCTCAGGAACTCTGGGAAATAAAAACTGATGTGTGTTAACAGTGGAGGCTCAGTACCTCTACGTTTGTCCCTGCTGTAAGGTTGGGTCTGACTGCCGGGCCACCGCATACAGCTGTACAGAAAGCACAGGGCACAGAGATGCCAGCCAGGAGGGGCACAAAAGAGTAGAAATCCAGCCCACGCTCCCTTTTGCCAAGTCATGTGCTCAAGCAGCGCATCCACCCAGGGGGGCCTACTCTCATTTGCATTGTGCAAAGGCAGCATCTGGGGCCCAGAATGGCCCTGCGCGTGGGCTCCAAACCTCGGCCTCCCTCCACTGTTTCCTGGGCCCTTGCATTCCTGTGTTCCTCTGTGGTTCTCGCACAGTAGAGGTTTTCTCTAGCCTGGTTTTGGAGGAACATTATATTGAGATCTGGACAGTTCCCTGAATATTTGCTCTCTGTGTGTGCGCATGCGTGTGTGCACGTGTGCACAAAAAATGGGGGGTTGGGGATGGAGTGATGCTCACATGTGGAAATCAGCCCTTTGGCTGTTACTTCCTCTTGTAACAGATCCAACCCTCTTTGCTGTGGGGTAAAGTGGAACCATATTTTGCTTTGCTCCACGGGCAGCCTGTGAGGAGGCTGCTTCCTGCCGGGGATCACAAGTTGGCTGCCCTCTCATTATCCCGGTGTTAGTTCTCGTCTTTCCCGCTGGACAGTGCTTCCACTACCATCGAGCCCAGCACAAGGAGATTTGTGCCCTTGCTCATGGTCTGCCCTGAGCACTGTGTCGTCACCACCTCCACATCACAGGTGTCGACGTGCACTTGCGAGCCAGGAGGGACGCTGAGGTGCCCTCGAGCAGGGGTGGGTGCTGGACGATGGGTCCGGAGACCCAAGTTCTGCCATTCACTGAACAAGTCTGAGCCTCAGATTTCCCAGCCGTCAGGGACAACAGTGGCACCCACACCACGTGGTTCTTCTGAGAGTGCTGTGATAGCTCTACTCTCTCATCCACACCTAGAGGAGCATTAACAGGGACGGTTCTGCCAACATCGACCAGAAAGCCGGGTCCTCCCAGAGGCCCCCCAAAACATTTGATCTACATGATCTAGTTCCCTGTCCCTACCTCCCCACATGCCTGCAACCTATATCCCTCCCAAAGCAAGATCCTGGTTTTGCTGCATTCCCACGTGTCCCCAAGGTTCATTCTAACCTGTGATGTTGTGTCTGCCTAGAGATCTCCCCGTCGACCAGCCTTAAATCCATAATGAAAAAGAAAGACTATGGCTTCCGTGCAGGAGGTAATGGGACCAAAAAGAACCTTCAGTTTGTTGGGGTTAACGGTGGGTAAGCATCGCTTGTGAAGCTCAGACCGCCCTCCCTGCTACCTCTCCTGCTGTTGTCCCTAGCACTCTCTTTTCCTAGGGGGAGGCATCTGGTTTTCATTCTTCTTCAAGGGAATTAATCTCAGTGGCTCTTTGAAACTCCTTCTTGGGTTTGCATATGTTTGGCTTCCTGCCAACTGTGGTGATCTGCTTTTAATATGTCTTGGTTTTGGCCTCACCCAGGGCCAGGACTCCAGGTGGCTTCTGGGAGTTTGGAGGGTACACAGCCCCTTTGAGGAAGGCGTTTAACCTGAATCACAACACTGAAACTAGTAAAAACTCTGTTAATTTGTTGAACTTCAAATTTCATCCATTTAATTTTTTCTTTAACTTCCTGTAAACCAAACCCAAGTGTCTGGGATAAAGAAAACAACCAGTCTATTGACTTAGAACACGAACCAAGCCTTATATATTCTAGAGAATTGAGTGTTGGATTTAGAATATTTTCTAAATCAATCATTCAACAAACATTTATTAAATGCCAGCAATGTGCTAGGTGGTGGGGATAAAGTCAAACAAATCATGGTCCCCACCTTTAGCTCACAGATAAGATAAAGAGGAAATGCTGGCTGGGTGAGGTGGCTCATGCCTGTAATCCTAGTACTCTGGGAGACTGAAGTGGGAGGATCGCTTAAGGTCAGGAGTTCGAGACCAGCCTGAGCAAGAGCAAGACTCTGTCTCTGCAAAAAAACAGAAAACTTAGCTGGGCATTGTGGTGCAGGCTCATAGTCCCAGCTACTCAGGAGGCTGAGACAGGAGGATCGCTTGAGCCCAGGAGTCTGAGGTTGCAGTGAGCTATGATCCCGCCACAGGTGACAGAGCGAGACTCTGTCTCAAAAAAAAAAAAAAAAAAAAGAGGAAATGCTGATGTGTTAAGTTACATTAGACAAGGACACGTAGGATGCTGTGAAAGCCCAAAGGAAGGGACCCCAGCCCAGCCCTTGGTGGGTCCTGAAGGCTGCCCAGGGGTCAGAATCCCTGCTAATTCACACCAAGGGAAGACACTAGAGGCAAAAGGGTGACGTCATTGTTGCAGCTTCTGTGCAGGAAACGTCAGAAATGATGAAATGGGATGTCTTACAGTTGTCGTTCCCACTTCCTCTAACGTCTTGCGCTTTCACTAGTTCATAGATAGAGGAGAATCAACCTCATCTCAACACTTAATGTAGGTCATACCTCTCCCCAGCTTAAATGCCCCCGACAATCGCCACTCAAACCTGGGAGGGCCAGATCGTGGCTCTGGCTGCCTCAGCTCCTGCAGCTGTCGCACGTCCACCCTCCACCGTGCTGAGCCCAGGCCCATCTCAGGGCCCTGGCCTTTGCTGTCACCTGCTGAAAGTGCTCCTCTAGTGGGCAGTCTTCAGTATGTGCTCCTCTAGTGCAGTGGGTCCCAACCTCAGCTGCACATTAGAAACACCCAGGGAGCTTAAAAAAATCCCGATGCCTGGGTCCTTTCCCTGAAGACTCTGGTTTGATTAATCTGGGTGTACTCCACGTATTCAGATTTGTAAACACCTCCAAGTGATTCTAATGTCCACCAAGGTTAGAAACTTCTGCTCTCATTAAAGTAACCCCTTCTCCCATCCCTCTGTACCATAGCCCTTTTTTATTTTATTTGTTGTTCTTATCACTGTCTGACTATAATATTTGTTTACGTGTTTATTTTCTGCCTCGCTCTCCTATATTCTCCCACTAGGGCAGGCAGCTTTGGCATAGAATTTAAAACAGTGTCTGGCACATAGCAGGTGCTCAATAAATTCCTGTCGAATGAGTGAATAAACTTTCAGGCAGAGTTTTTATGGAAGCAATTCTAAGATGAACACTGTTTGGTAAATGTTATACATCTCCCACTCTCTTAATCACCGAAGCGAAAGGTTGTTCCATGCACAATAGAGGAAGAAATATCTGGGATTAAGCAAAACAGAATATGAGCATAGCAGGGAGCAGGCTGGATTTGCAAACCCACAGAGGCCGTCCTTCTGAGAAGGGGCCTTAGGGATGCCATGGAGGCCATGGCCACTAGTCCCTGTGGCTGTGTCCACTGTCCCCAGAACCCAAAATCTTCATCTCACCTCCAGCATCCTCCAGCATCGGGGGGCTCCTGTTGCACACCAGCAGGGAATCAATAAATCTTCCAGGGATTTCCTCCACGGCCTCTGATCTGCCAACTCAATAGAGCCACTTATAATGGAGCATAAGGGTCCCTGCGGGGAGGGAGGCCGTGAGTCAGGTGGCCTGTACCCCCCCTTTAGCTGCTCCAAGCAATAGCTCAGACAGACTGCGGCCGAGTACGGCAGATGCTGTGTTGGGGTATCCCACGCAGCCCTGCTGGGAGAAGGTTTGCATGAGTCATCCTTTGCCGGGTGCAAGCTGGGCTGGAGCAAGCGGACTAAAAAGGGAGGTCTCGCTCTCTCCCAGAGACGGGAAGGTTTGTTAGGAAATTCAGAGAACTCAGAGTGGAGTTGGGGCATGTCTGCCTGGATTGGGGCCCCTCTCCGGGCCTAACATTAGGATTCCAGAAGCAAATGCTTTCGGGAGACACTGCATTGCCCGAAAGTATCACCCGAATGCATCAGCCAATCAGGGGTCAGGGCTGCTTGTGTATTAGCTGGCAAGAGCACAGGTAATTATCTTTTTCCCCAAATGGCCTCCAACTTCAGAGCCAAAGCCCTTTACCATGTCTTTCTGATACTAAGATTCCTGGGAGCCCTGTAGGTGTAGAAAATGGAGGAGGAGATTAGCAAGTGTTACCTGAGGCCCACCCAGCTCTCGTTGGTGTTGACACGGGCACTGGGCAGGAAGGACAGGACAAGTGACCTTTGTCTCCCTCCCCAGCTATGAGACCACCTCGAGTGAGGAGACCAGCGGTGAGGACAGCTCCCCAGAAGACTTGTCTGACAGCGAAGCTGAGAAGAAATGTGATGGCCCAGAACACAGGTGGACCAAGGATGCCCACCCCAGCTACGAGGCCGGGCAGGGTGTCCCCGAGGGCACGCATCATGCAGGCCAGGAAAGTGGGCCTGGGGAAGAAGTCCCCCACTCCAAGGCTGAGAGGTGAGTCAGATGGGTATGGGTGGGGGCAGCTGGTCCTCTGGAAAAGGACACAGGTCCATCCTTTCATTCGATTTTGTGTTAATCTGTTCATTCGTTACCCATCCGCTGTGCACTGGTTGAACTAATCAGAGTGGCTCTTGCCTTTGTGGAATATACTGTCACGGCCAGATCTCTTCGTCTAACGCCACATATACCTGGCACTGAAAATGGGAAGGACTTTACAAGTGTTATCTTATATAATCCTTTTCACAATCCTTCCAGGTAAAGATTATTATAATCCCTGCTTTGCAGATGTGGAAATAGAGGCTTAGAGGAGTGAAGGGACGCAGCTCGCAGAACGGGGATTCCAGCCTTCTCTCTCTGATTCTTACCCACGAGCTTTTCTGCCTCTCCCGTTGGCCATGGTGACATAACCCTGTCTTTTAAAATGATGGAGGTCATGCCATGTGACGAGAACAGTACTGCCTTTGGAGTCAGACACACCTGGATTCAAATCTTGCCTCTGCCACGGTGTTACTTTAGGCAAGGTCTTAAGGCTGTGGTCGCCTCAGTTTCCCTCATCTGTGAAATGTGGATTATAGCAACCTGAGCTTTGGTCTGGGCACTGTATGAGAAAAAGCAAGTAAAATGCTTAGCACAGTGCCTGCCACATAGTAGGCTCTTGACAAATGGTGGGGATAAGACTAGTCGGTGCCATTATCGTCATTGTCACCATCCCCAGCCTGGGTGCCGGAGGATGATGAACAGTGAACGGGAGCTGGCGGTCACACAGGTGCGCGGCGCTGCTCCAACACAGCAGCGCCATAGGACATGACGAGTGAGTGGGCCACTCAGCGACCAATGCCAGTAAGTCCCAACTGAGGCCTCTTGGTGCCAATGGTGTCCTCCTACTAACACGGGCAGAGCACTTGTCACTGCGGACACCCCCCCTGAAATGAGTCTCATCGTATTGACCCTGTTAGTACTTAAAGTGTCCTTCATGGAAGAATAACCTGAAGAAATTTGCTGGTATGGATTGGCTTTTTGAATTTTTCTAATCACCCAGGCAGAAAATGTTGGGTCCCAAGTCAGAAAGACAGCCCTCCCCCTCCCGGCGTGTCAGGAATTACAGCTGGACCTGTGGCCCCCCGAGTGCATTGTTACCTGCTCCGACCCCTGACGAAAGCAGGAGGAATCGGGCAGTGTGCTTGACTCACTCTTCAGCGGAGTTGTGGGGACTCCGTGGCCACCCCAGGTTTCTGAGGACTGCCCCTCTCCTGGGGTGTTTGCCCAGTTTGGGCGTTTGAGCTGCTGGGAAGTGAAAGAGGAGGAAAGCAAAGTCTTTTTTCTGTCCACACAGAGAATGATTATATAAACATCTGTATATTTGTTTTCTTTAGATATAAACCCTCAGAAGAATTTCTTAATGCATGCCGGGCATTGAACCAACATCTGCCGGAAACTGGGACCACCACCGACCAGCTCTTGGTATGATTTTCCATGGTCATGTAAAGATTTCCCTTCAGTTAAGAGCGAGACTGGGTGACTTTGGTCCCTTGCCTGAGGCAGTCTGGGTGTTCTCTGGCCTCCCCAAAGGCTGCTGTCTGAGGTGATGGATCACCCTGAGATAGAACTGGCCGACGTGCACAGGAGGCGGGCAGGGGCCTCAGAGGCCCTTCCCCGGCCCCATTAGGCTTCGAACGCTCAACGTCTGTCACCAGCCTCTCCGGCTTAGGCTCAGAATGGCCCCGAGGTTCGAGAGTACCTAAGTGCAGAGGAGGAAGCATGCAGAGTGGGAACGGGGGTTCTGTTCCAGGACCCTCATCTGTGAGGTGTCGGGCAAATCAGCCCAACGCTCAGGGCCTGAGTTTCCTCATCGATAAAGCGAGGGCGGCGGCAGGTCTCCATCCCGACGGCCCTGACATGTGATTCTCTGGTCGTTGCTGTTTTCCTTGAAGTGCACCTCTGGGTCAGGAGACCGAAAACAAGAAAATACGTGTTTGCTCCTTCACACCTTCGTGGCCCACAGAGTTTAGACATGTAACGATTGGGGTCTACTTTTAATCAAGGGACACTGGCGCATACGCATTTTCCCAAGTTATGAGAGCAGCTGGAAGGCCCACAGTGGAGCAGCCTGTAGGCATTTTTAAAAGCCATTTTGCTCTCCTTTGCAGAAGAGCCCTAGGAGTAAAAATAATTCGTCAGTGTTTATTCCTTGCCCAACCCATCTTTATTATTTTGTCCTAGCTGATTTGGCAAATAGCTATTCTCAGACTGTTAAAGAACCAATATGTAATGTGAATATTGATCAAAACTCCTGTTATTTTTTTTTTTTTTTTTTTGAGACAGAGTCTCACTCTGTCACCCTGGGTAGAGTACAGTGGCGTCATCATAGCTCACTGTAACCTCAAACTCCTGGGGTCAAGGGATCCTCCTGCCTCAGCCTCCTGAGTAGCTGGGACTACGGGTGAGGGCCACCATGCCCAGCTATTTTTATTAGAGACGGGTCTTACTCTTGCTCAGGCTGGTCTCGAACTTATGAGCTCAAGGGATCCACCTGCTTCAGCCTTGCTGAGTGCTAGGATTACAGGTGTGAGCCACTGTGCCCAGCCCTGTTATTGATTCTTAAGTTATTGAACTAAGTTCTTTCTTAGCTCTTCATTCAAAATCCACCCCTCTGTTCCTTAATATTAGGATCTTTCTCCAGATTTTCTTGAAGATTCCATGCGTAAAGGAGATATTTTGATGTATAAAAGTGTTTCAGCCACAAAAGATTCCACTGTTTCTGCCCTAGAAAAGTGACCAGAGGATGTATGTGCAAGCGTGACACCACACCCATGTTAGGATCTAAACACAGGACACCTCCTTCACCCCTGCCTAGAGATGAAGCAGGTCTCATAAGGACCTTGCTCTGTAGGGCCGAGAGTGAAGGGAGCCAGCCCCCCTTTTGTAATAGGGACAAGGTTCAGAAATGTTATATGACTTCTAAGGTCACACAGCTGAGCCAGGACTTAAACCTGGTCACATTGATTTTGTGACTCCAAATCCAGTGCTCTTTCCAGAATGAGTATGAAATCATTTCTAGTAATCACATCCCAACAGCTTTTCCTCCCCTGGAGGCAAATAATCTAAACATGATCCATTTTAAACACTAAGGTCATGTCACACATGGAGTTGATGTCATTGGCTCTGGAACTCTTCTTATTCACGGTCCCAGAGGACCTGAATACTACAGAGAGTGAGGTCCTGCCATGGCTGTTAAACCATTTATGCTGAAGGCAACAGCAAAGTTTAAAAGCCAACAGTAAGTCAAACACACCTGTTTGGGTTTTATTCCAAACATAGGTTGGATATGTTGTCTGAGCTTTCAGCATGCATTTTTCCCATCAGTGAGATGCTGTGATTTTCCAGCTATGCCGATTAAAAATACACAAGAGACCTGGTAGAGTCTGGGGCTGAGTGAGCGTGAAAGAGGGGGTCTTCGTAACCGTGTGCACACAGGGGATGTGAGCTAAAGTTACCATAGACTCAAACTATCCCCAGTAAAGTGCTTTGTTACTGGTTACCGTGTTGTCTTACCTCCCGTGGGGGCCAATCGCACAGGCACAAAATGCGCTGCTGCGTTCCTAACCCTACTGGCTCTGAGCCCCAGGAATAACCCACATGGAGAGCTGGAGGGAGCTGAAGGGTTAGAGGTGGAAGTATCTGAAGCTGACTTTTCCCAGTGTTAGCTAGGAACCCTAGCTGGGGCACCCCTGGCCAGGGAACCTCTTGGAACTGGACTCTTTTGGGATTTCAGAGGCAAAGCTTGAACACCATCAGTCAGGAGTGGTTCCGCATCTCCAGCCGGAAGTCGTCTAGCCCTGCCGTGGTGGCTGCCTACCTGCACGGGGTCCAGCCTCACTCCCCACATTTCCTGAAGCTGCTTGTCAACTTGGCTGATCGCAACGGGAACACTGCCCTTCACTACAGTGTGTCCCACTCCAACTTCTCCATCGCAAAGCTGCTGCTGGAGACAGGTGAGAAACGATTGCGTCTGTACCATCCGCATCCCTCCTTGAAGGGCAGTGCTTGTACCACACTTCTTTCCAGCACGGAACTTCTTCACTGTTCTGAGTTCCTTCCGTATGCCAGGAACGGGACTGGACCGTTTTGTCTGCATTTATCACTTATACATCACAGCATTCCTGTGATGTGGGTATTATTATTCTCATGTTGCCATTGAGGAAACTCGAAGTTCAACAGTGATAAAATTTGCTCAGGTCAAGGTGCTGGTAAATGGTAGAGTGAGATTTTGTGTTCGGTCTGTCCAATCTCAGGGCTACCTCATACTGACTCTAGGGAAGGTCACATTTTCCCATCTTCATAAGATACTTTTTAACAAAGATCATGGTACCATTTGACCAATTTGAGTCAATTTGAGTCATTCATCCTTCATCAGGTATTTACTGACTGCAATGTGAGGTCCACACTGGCTATCACCAGGGTGCAAGGTGAGCCTGGTGTGCCCTCTGTTTGCCAGGAGCTCGTAGCCTAACAATCAGAGCGGAACACGATGATGGCTCACAGAGAGCTGCAGAATGTGATTGAGGGATTCAGAAGAGGTGAGATCGGGTCCAGTCCAGGCAGCAGCACAGGTGCATTGGAGCAGGCAGGGTTCCGGCAGGCAGAGTAGTGTTCCTGGCAGAGAGAATTCCATGGAGACTAAGAAAGGGAAAGATGCCTGGAGAACAGAAAGTTTCTAGTTTGGATGGGATGTGGACTAAGGTTGGGAAGGTGAGTTGGAGCCACAGCATGGAGGAATGGAGGACCTTGAGTGCCAGGCTGAATAGTTTGAACCCTATTTGAAAAGGCCTGAGAAGTTGATGCAGGATTTTATGTAGGGTGCACCATAACCAAGTCATATGGTTTGGATGTTTGGCCCCTCCAAATCCCATGTTGTAATTTGAGTCCCAGTTTTGGAAGTGGGGCCTGGTGGAAGCTGTTTGGGTCATGGAGACAGATCCTTGATGAATGTCTTGGTGTCCACCCCATGGTAATCAGTGAGTTCTTACTGTTTGAGTTCTCCTGAGAGCTGCTTGTTTGAGGGAGCCTGGCACCTCCTCCTCCCTCTCTTGCTCCTTTTCTGGCCATGTGACACGCCTGTTCCCCCTTCACCTTCTGCCTTGATTGGAACCTCCTTGAGGCCCTCACCAGAAGCAGATACTGGCACCGTGCTTCTTAGACGGTCTACAGAACTGTGAGCCAAACAAACCTCTGTATAAATTACCCCGTCTCAGGTATTCCTTTACAGAAACACAAAATGGACTAACACACCAGGAGAGTCCTCTAGGAAGGGTAATTTGACGGTCGGGGTAGGTTAGTGGAGAGAGCAGAGGAGGAGGTGGCAAGGCAGATGGGAGGACATTGAGGGGGTCCAAAGACAGGTAGCGGAGGCTTGCCGTAGATGAGAATGGTAGGTGAGAATGAGAGTGAAAAGGCCACGGGGGAGGTAGTGACTAACCGGCCATGGAGGGCAAGGGGACTTGAGCTCTCCGTCAAGGTTGGACAGCTGGGAAGACAGTGGCACTGCAGAAGGAGGAGAAGGAGCAAGTGTGGGGGACGCAGAAAGGGTAATTCAATCCGGGGCAGATCGTGAGTCTCCAGTGGGTTGCCCAGGTGGAATTGTCCAGGAGGCTATCGTGAATTCCAGATGCAAGATCAACGAGTGATAGAGCTTTGGGTGGGGCCAACTAGAGCACAGGCAATGGTGGCTTTGGGAGGAGGGACGGAGATGGAGAAGGGAAGAGGCTGGAGGGAGAAGCCCTCTCTTGGTTATCCCGCACACGGTGGGGTGAGGTGGGGAGAGATACGTACACTTTATCATATACAACCCTTGCAGGACCCATAAAGCAGATATTAATTGCATTTTTCAAGTGTGAAAACTAAGGCTCAGAGATGTCAGGTAATATGGTCAAGGTCACAGAGCCAGTAAGTAGCAAAGCCAGAATTCAGACCAAGATCCATCACCCTCCCAATTGGGGCTTTTTCTACAACCCCAGATTGGATTTCAGGGACACTGTGAGACTTTGGCAACACCCATTGTATGCATGAGGAATCCAAAGTCCAGTAACATACAGCCCTGGTCTTTAAGTAGCTCACAGTCTTGTAGCCTGTTAGAAGTTCTAGGTGGGCCAGGCCAGGACAGATAATGGACAACCTAAGATTTGGGTGTTATAAAGAGCTGCTGATGCTGACTAAGAATCCAGTTAATACTCATCACCCTTAAAGTGGTTTGGAAGCTTTCCCCTTTAACATAGTGAAATAGCTAAATAGCCACAGCATAAAGTATGAAGGAATTTGGGGAAAATGGGCTAAAAGCGCCATTATGTTCCTCATCTGCAGCAGGGGTGTTGAGGATGACAGATCTGTGACGCTCACATACCTGGGCTCCCTTAGGAGGCAGTTGTGAAGCATCCAGAAAACACATTACCACCTGTAAAGCGCTGTGCAGAAGTGACTCATTACTATGGAGATCAGAGCCAGCGAGAGCATGTCTGCAGGCTTAGTGCCTGGTGATCGTCCTTTATTTTGCTGGACGTTGCAGAGAGTGAGCTTGCTCACTGGGAGCGTGCGCAGGCAAGAGCCTTCTCCTCTCTCACCTGCAGGGAGGGTGGGCTTTGCTGTCTAATCCTGAGTCCTTGGCCCCTTTTAGTCCCTTTTTTGAGCCCATGGGGAGAAGGCAGAGACCTCGCTTCACTGACCAACAAGTCACGTTTCTGAAGAGAGAAAAGAGAACTGGTAACCCGAGGCTCATTCACACATCTTAAAAGCAAGCAGAAAATAGTCAGGAGGTAGAAATAAAAAAGCTATTAACAAGGCAATGCAAATGCTCACTTCTTTCTCAGAACAGGGCTGTGAGGTGATGCGTGGAGTTATTATTCAGCTTTCGTAGCCTGCCTGCTCATGACAGTGGGCCCAGGGGCTGGAGGGAGAAACTGCTGATAAATGAGCCAGACTGATTTTTCTGTGTCCGCTGGCATCCTGGTATTACTATGGCATGCTTCTAAAAATTGTTTGAAAAATTGTGGGGTGGAGGGAATATCAAACAAATGTTGGTTTTTCTACTTGCACAGAGCTTGTCAGTAGCCCTGGCATTTTTTCATAAACCAGATTTGTTACAATGAACACCTAAGTTCACAAGAATATCATTCTGGACAATAATAGTATAACAGTTAACTCTTACTGAACGTTTACTGTGTACTAGGCATTATTCTAAGGACTTAAAGTATATTAACTCAACACATTTGGCAATAACCCTCTAAAGTAGGTTCTATTATTATCCCCATTTTACAAAGGAGGAAACGCTAAGAAAGGCTAAGTGACTTGATTTACTGAGCCAGTTTTTTTCTTGTTGTTTGTTTTCAAACGGAGTCTTGCTCGGTTGCCCAGGCTAGAGTGCTATGGCATCAGCCTAACTCATAGCAACCTCAAACTCCTGACCTGAAGTGATCCTCCCGCCTTGGCCTCCCAGAGTGTTAGGATTACAGGTGTGAGCCACCACACCCGGCCCTGAAATAGTTTTATTACCTAAAAGAGCCACTGAGGTTTTTCAGATGAGCAGCAGTACACAGATGTTTGGTTTTCCATGGAGAGGTGGAAATCATTTACACCTTGAGAGGTGGAATCATTTGCATAAGAGATATCAGTCTGTGTCTGATAATCTTCTAGCCCCCCTTAGGTAGGGAGGGATATGAATGCATATCTCCAGGCCTACAAGGCAGGAATTTCTTATGAATTCTCATTTACTACTTCATCTTTAAAAATATGCCAGTTTTTCATTGTATTGTGAGAGGTATATTCTGAATTGTTTTAATGTAAAAATTATGGAGCTTTTTCTCCCATCCTTTTTTAAGTAAGATAGTTGTTCTCGGAAGATTTCCCATGTTTATCCTGTGGTGTTTTTCATGCCCCTGGTACATTGCACAGCAGGTCACTAGGCCCTTGGAAAGGACCTACAGACACAGCCATCAGTTTGAGAGCTGCACATAAACATGAGGTAGTGAGAGTGAAACCTGGAACGCACAGCTGTAGGCAGCATGTGGGCAGGTGAGTGATGGGCTCTAGAGCTGGACAGACCTGGGTCCTGGTCCCAGTTCACCTTCACATGAGTGGTTTGTGTAACTTCTCTGGCCTTCAGTGTCTGTATCTGTAAAATGGAAAGAATGTCTTGTGTTCCATTTTATAATATGGGGTCATGGTCACTGGCCCGCTTGGCCGTCTCCAGCTCTATTATGGACCTCTCTTGCTGGGTATCCTTAGAAAACTTGTAAAGAAAAGTAGCCAGTTTTAAAAGTTGCTAAAAATGTAAACCACTGGCTCCACCTGTGGAAAGGATAGCTCTATTACGTGGCGTTTCAACTAGCAGTCAGCGTCCTGTTGAACAGGCCGAAGTGGAGCTTGGCTCCTGGCCCCTCAGGAGCTATTCCAGCATCCACCACTTCTCTTGTAGGCGTCTGCAATGTGGACCGTCAGAACAAAGCTGGCTACACTGCTGTGATGATCACTCCATTGGCTTCTCCAGAGACCGATGAAGACATGGCTGTCGTCTGGAAGCTCTTAAGAGAAGGAAATGTGAACATCCAAGCTACTCAGGTGGGTGGTGTGAACTTGATCTCCTCTTTAATAAATGCAGGCTCTATTCTGCTGGTGGGATGAGAAATTCCATGTAGATCCATGTCATTTTTAACCCGAAAAGGCTGGAGGGCCTCCAAATGGCATCCATCCAAAGCCTGTATATTTGGTTTTCCTCACAGGCTCCTGAGACCCAAACAGGCTGGGGCAGAAGTCAGTGAGCTTCTACTCTAGGTCCCAGTCTGAAACTGGACAAATTTCATTTGGACTCAATTTCTCAAACCAACGTTCCCACAGTTAGCATCTCCAGAAGGCATTTGCTAGTTGGCTGCTCTAGGAAAGTCTCTGTAGGTGCCCCACCTTGATCATGACCCTGGGGCATCTAACTAGGCAAGATGCTCTTTGGAAGTCAAGTCCTTTAAAGAAGTTCTTAGCTCTGTTATCCCATGTTTGCCCAAAGCCTTTTAACAAGGTCATGAGTCCCCTTCCTGATGGAGAGAAATCATGGATAGCCAGGACAGACAGGAATGTTGGCAGATCATTCATGAAGATCCTTGCTTCCCAGGCCTACGCTTGGCCCAGAGAATTATTGACTTCTGCTGGTGATTGGTCAATCTACCCAGCGTGCCTCCTCAGTCCTTGAAATAATCAGATCTCAAAACACTCCTGTCTTCCTTAGCTCCCCGCCAACCAATGTGAGTGCCATTGTTCTGGGCACACAACTTACACCCCAGTCCCCAGGAGTGGTGCCTTAGGCCAGGGTGGGAAAGCAGTTAGCTGCCAAGAGGCAGTGAGTCAGGACATGTGGGTTCCACTAATTCACTGGGTCACCTGTGCATCAGGTCAGAAGGTCCCTCAAAGGTCACCTAGGTCTACTCCCTATTCTTTTTCAAAATCCTACCAGATGGTCTCCAGCTTCCTTATGGTGGTCTCCAACTCCATTACCTCCAGTGTCAGGAAACTCATGTCTACCAAAGTAGCCCATTTGTTACTCTAGACAGCTCTGATAACTTTTAAAACTGAGCCAAAACCAGATACTCTGAACCTTTCAGAGAGTGATTAAGTAGAAGTTGATTGGAGTTCATGCAAAAAAAAAATCTCATGACAGCAAAGATATACAAGGCAACTCGGAGGGTTGGAATGTCTTTGTTCAGCTTCCGGGCTTCTCTACTTGAGAACACAGGGTGGGGATGTGGTCCTTGCCCAGTAGGGCTTTGAGTTAGACAAGGTTCCACGTGGAACAATGGGAACTACTCAGAAGGTTATTTGACCATTTTGACAATGCAGGAATGAATGGAATGAATGAATAGAGTGCATTTAACTCTCCTTTCCCCCTTGAGTGACCATCGATATTACAGTAGCATAACTGACAAGAACCGTGAAGACCATGAGATTTTACCCTACATTAAAGCTAACGCGGCCGGGCGCGGTGGCTCACGCCTGTAATCCTAGCTCTCTGGGAGGCCGAGGTGGGCGGATTGTTTGAGCTCAGGAGTTCGAAACCAGCCTGAGCAAGAGCGAGACCCCGTCTCTACTAAAAATAGAAAGAAATTAATTGGACAACTAAAAATATATAGAAAAAATTAGCCGGGCATGGTGGCGCATGCCTGTAGTCCCAGCTACTCGGGAGGCTGAGGCAGGAGGATCGCTTGAGCCCAGGAGTTTGAGGTTGCTGTGAGCTAGGCTGACGCCACGGCACTCTAGCCGGGGCAACACAGTGAGACTCGGCCGCAAAAAAAAAAAAAAAAAAAAGCTAACGCGTTAGTCTGCTACAGTTTCATGGATGCTGGCGGAAGATGTGAGACCTCTGTACCACAGACAAGGACAACGTATTGCCCACAGCCGTAGCAGTAGCCACAGTGTCAGCATTGCCTAATTCCTAATTCCCACAGGGCAGCGTGAGGAGGGCCAGATACCTGAGCATGGAGCAAGTTGTATTACAGGAGAGGAACCCTGAGCTCAGTGAATCTGAATCTTTTATGACGGGCAAGCCTGCCCTTTTCTCAGGAGATACTATGTCTGTCTTCTAAGGCTCTTCACTGCATAAACATCCTTAAAAATATAGCATAGAACAAACGGGCAGATTCTTCTGTGCTTTACTCACAAGGCATGTAGAAAAGCAAGAGACCCGTGGAAAATTGACCCCCCACAATCTGTTTAACTCCACGGTCCCACACTCCCCCGAAGTGATGACAGATAGTAGCCTAACCTGATGGCAAAGTCACTTCGCACATTTCATCTGATAGCAACCCTGGTGATGGCAAGAAACAGATATTTGTAGACTACTTTCCGGTTTTCGAAGTACTTTCACCCACCTACAACTCCTATTCCACAAAACTCAATACGGCAGTTTTCGTGTTAAATAATGTTCCCCACAAACTTATTAATTTTTTTTTTTCTAAATTGGCCCTCTTGAAAGAGGAAATGCTTTCAAGAGGATCAAAATCAACTCCTTCTTTTTACAGAAGAGAAACTGATGTTCTAGGAGGGTTTGGGGCTCATCCCAGGCCACCAGAGGAGGGATGAGAATTCCTAGCTGCTGCTGTTCCCTTCAGCTCCCCGGGGCCTTTACGGGAGAGGAGAGGGGGAGGTGCCAGATTAAATGGAAATGAGCCAGGAGTGTTCCAGGGACAAGCTGCGGACTCCTCATTGCATCTTGGCAGAGTAGCACTCTGCAAATGCTCATTGAATTAAATTGTACTGAATTGGACCAGGACGGTGGTGGGGGAGGAAGGGGCCCTGCATCAGGCAGGGGCACAGGCATGAGGACAACCTGCATATGTCATCTGGCTTTAATAACAGTTGGAGAGAGAGGTCTGGATGGAAACCTCATGGTCTGGTTAGTCCAGCAAACAACCATTACCTCAGGGCTGAGTTAAAAAAAACAAAAACAAAAAAGCAGACAGGCTTCTCTGGAAAGATCTGTCTGGGTTCCAGAGAAATGGAGAACCAGGATATCTAATAATACATGCCCACGTACTGAGCATGTACAATGTGCAGAGCATTTGTCAGACGCTACCTCTAAGCCCCGTAATGATAATAACAGCTAACACCTGCCTAGCACTTGCTAAGCACCGGGGTTTTAGCGCAACCCCATGACGCAGGTGATACTGTTGATCATTCCCACTTTACCAAATCAGGAAAAGTCACAGAGGGCTTAACTTACCCGCAGTCACATAGGTAATCAGTGGCAGAGCCAGGATTTTTCTGTTTCCAAACTCCCTTCCTTTTCCCTTAGCCCCAGCATTCTGGGCAGGGAAGCATAGTTCATCAGACTGCAGCTTGGAGTTTTAATCAGCCAACACATCAGCAACGAGTCCTCAGCCCTTTATACATGTACCACGGTGCATTCAGAGCCCCGGGGGATCTGAAAGGACAGAGTACATAGTCCTTGCTTGTCCCATCGGAGAAACCTGCTTGGAATCCAGGCGAACCATATAATAAAGTCAGATGAGAGGACTATAGGACTATATATAGTATTATATACACAAGAAAATCTATGGGCAATGAGAAATGACGGTCAATTTGTAATCAGAAAAATTGCTACCACACATGATTATATTTACATCCTTTATCTCATTTGATTCACGCAAGATCCCTGTGACATACACAGGACAAATCATTATTATATTAATTTTTAAGAAAATAAAAGCCAATTAAGTCCTTTAAATGGCCTATTAATTAAAAAGAAAAAAAAGAAAAGCCACGATTCAGGGAAGACAAGTGACATGGGCAGGGTCACATACCGGTAAGCTGCAGACTGCAGCCTGGACTTGCTTTCTGACTCCAGTCCATGGCTACGTCCACTGATGATTTTAGGGCTGTCCAAGATTATTGTCAGTGCTGTAGAGTAGAAATGACCACAGGGATGTGCAAGCAGAGATCTTGTTGAGACAAGAGGATTCTGGGTATCATTAAACTGAAAATACCAGAGGCATTGAGCAGACCAAGGCTTCCTGGAGAAAGCTGGGCTGGGGCAGGCAGTTTGATGCCGCAGTGCTGAAGCACTCAACCTTCATCTGTTCCATCATCCAGCGTTTATCAGCATGTACTTGGTGCTAGGCACTGGGGAGACAGAGACAAAAAAAAAAAAAAACTTCTTCCCTGCCATCAATAATGTCCCAATCCATGAGAAGGACAGAAATTGGCAAGTTGCAATACCAAGTGGTAAGTTCCGTGTTATGAATTCCGTGCCTGGGGAGTTAGGGGAGGCTTTGGAGAAGATGTAGCATTTGACTATTGTCTTGGAAGAGTATAAATGTGCCAAACAGAAGGCTGTGTCCCATACCAAGAAGGAGATTCTGATCAATGGTCATTTTCTTGAGAAGTCTTTGTTGAGCACACCCAGGCTGCAGACGGGACCCTTGCTGTTGGCAGTAACCTCAGCACACCCCTGTGGCCCTGTGTGCAGGGAGGCCAGACTGCGCTGATGCTGGGAGTCAGCCATGACAGGGAGGACATGGTTGAAGCGCTACTGAGCTGCCAGGCAGATGTCAACCTGCAGGACCACGATGGATCCTCGGCCCTCATGCTGGCCTGTCACCATGGCAACACCGACATGGTGCGGCTGCTCCTGGCACACCCAGCCTGCGACAGCAGCCTGACTGACAAGGTGAGACTTATAGGTAATTAACAAGTAGCTGTTTAACTTCCAGTCCTGAAACGTTCCTCGCCAGCCAGCAGAATTCAAAGAACCATTTGGCAGGAGCAACAAAATCAACCTCCCAAGGCTACTGTGGGATTTAAATGAGATGATCCAGGGTAAATGCTTGGAGCCTTAGAGCTGGGAAACCTCCAACCCTAACCTTTTGTAACACCACCCTGGGGGCATGCGTGGGCCTGGCTGGGCCCTGAGCCTCATCTGGTCAGGCAATTGTGGCTGTGGGCTTTGAGGCAGCCACTTGGACAGGGAAGCTCTGTCCAGTGGGGACTCTGGAAAGGGCCTCTCTGACACGGATCCACTTTATGGAGCAGCCCGTGCCATCAAGCCAGCCTGCTTGAAGTTGCACTTCCAGACTAAGGCCTCTTAAATCACCTTCCTCGTAAGGGGATGGCAATGATGATGACGATAACAATAATGATAACTTTAATGTCATGAGGGCTTACTGTGTGCCAGGTTCTGTACCAAGCATTTGCCATGGACCATCTCATTTAAATCCCACAGCAGCCTTGTGAGGTTGGTTCCATGGCTGCTGCCACTTTGCTCAGGGAAACGGAAGCACCAAATGGTCAGATTCCATACCCAGGATCACATGGCTAGTGCCACTCAGCTCTGTCACACTCCTAAGCCCTTCCTCTTAACTGTTCCATCATCATCACTGTTGTCACGTTGAAGCATCCGTGTCTCTGGCTCCCTGCTGAATCCGCGCACCTAGCAGAGTGCCTGCCACCTGTTAGGGAACGAATCAACAATGGCATGAATGAACCCCTAAACTTTGGGAGTAGATCACCAGTGAGCAATGCTATTCCTGATGATTACTGTAGGTACTATTTCTAGAGAACTCATGGGAACTAAACCTTTTCTATGCCTTATCTCTCATCCTCTCAACAATCAAGTGAGATAGCGACCCCCACTTTTTACTGAAAAGGAAACAGGCCCAGAGATGTCATGTCACTGTCCTGAGGTTTACAAGCTGCCGAATCTCAGAGCAGAGATGCAAGCCCAGGTCTGACTCCAATATCCTTAATGTTGGCACTATAATTTAATGTTTTAAACAGACATCTTTATAGTCTCTGAACAGCCACAATTCAAAGGGAACAAAAGCCTGGAGAGGGGAAGAGAGTCTCCTCCCAGCCCAGGGACAGCACCTCTTACTGGCCCCCATTTGAGCGGTGATTCAAGCTGCTGAGCACCTCGGCCACACCCAGAAAGCAGCCATCCCGTCCAATCTCTGGTCCTGTGAACTCAGCTCCCCTCAAAGCCATTTCTGAGATCACTGTAGAGCACAGACCCTCTTGAAATTCATACGGAACGGGCGTGGGCTGCTGGAAATAAGGGCCTCCTTTCCCAAACTTTGTGTAGTCAGACAAAGGATCTGTGGTAATGAGCTCCCCGCTGGGTCACCCTGGAAGAGAAGGGGGCGGCCCGTAATCTGGAACAGGCCTGTACATGAAAGGCCCAGGGCCCTCTCGGGAGTGACCACTGCTGATGCCCAGAAGAGCCTGAGAGCGGAGGCCTGTGGGCAGGTAGGCACGAGCTCTGCAAGTCCCTGGTTAGCCGGGATAATCAGGCAGTGAATCTGAGAGCTCTCCTGGGCACCTCTGGAGGTCTGTCACAGGCCAGAGAGCCAAGTGGCTGCTTTCTGGAGATGGAGGAAGAGCCATGGGATCTGTTGCACATTAGACAACTCAGGCATGATTGTTAAAGCATGGACTTTGACAGTAAATGCTCATGAGTTTGAATCTGGGTTCAGTGACTGTTTGCCTTCGGCTAGATCACCTAACCCCTCTGAGCCTCTCTGTGCTCCTCTGCAAAATAGGGATGGCAGTAGACCATGCCTGGAGACAGTGTCTGGAGACATTTTTATTTGCCGTAAGTGGGGAGAGAGTGCGGCTGGCCTCTAGTGGGTAAAGGCCAGGGATGCTGCTAAACATCCTACAAGGCACAAGAACAGCAAAGAATCAAAATTATCAGTCCCAAAATATCAATAGTGCTGCAGTTGAGAAAGCCTGGTGGAGGCAGTACTGACATCCTAGTGGGTTCAGATAACCAGTCCCAGTGAAGTGCTGGATCAGGAAGAACCAGGCCAGGCTGAGGACCAGGGTGGGGCTCTAAGCCTGGAAGGGAGGGACTGGGGTGCTAAAGAGGAGAAGAAGCAGAAATCTATCACAGCAGAAGGTGGAGCATGCTAGGGAAAGCCCTGCTGGCACGGGGAGCCCAGGCAGTGCAGGCAGCATGCCTCAGGCAAGGCGGGTTCTAGACCCCATGTGACATGGCCCAGTCACGTGCTGCCCACCTGTGTCCAGGTTGATTCAGGATTCACACCCAAATGTCCCAAGGGTGACCTGGGTGAGCACAGTGTCTACATGCACCAGGTGAGAAGTTTCAGTGGGAGAAGGGAACTACCGACAGGGCCCTCCCGAGTACCAGGGCTCATACCTGGTGCCTCACATGGAAGGGGAAAGGCCAGTCCTTCTCATAATCCCCCCATCACGTCCATACTCATCTTCCTATGGAAGCTCAGATGTTAGCAGCAGGGATTACCTGGGAATTCCCCTGGAAGATTGAGGGAGAATTCATGTTGTGAAATTGGTTTCTCTCATCAGCATTTCAAGTTAGATATAAATGCAGAACTCCCAGAACAGCCAGCAAGGCACTTTCCCTAGGTTTAGAAGACAATTCAAGGAAATGGGCCACCCAGCCTCTTCGGGGCCACCAGAGTGAGGAAGACAGGGAGGACCCAGCCTGGGACCCCAGAGGCTCACCCTTTGAAGGTCTTGTTCTGGCAGCTTCTTCAAAGACCCATCAAATTGAAAACTTCTTTAAGGCAGAAATTACGCCTTGTTTGTCTTTTTGTGACGAGTTCTTGCCATATTGAAAGACACCCCCAACATGTGCACGCACACAGGTATGCCGGCTGCCTGAGCCCCCAGCTGTACAGGTCACAGCCGGGGTTGCCTTCTCCAGGCCTGCAGTGTTGCTGAGCGGGGGCTCACCACGTCTGGCTCCCACGGGAGCTGCATGCCACAGGCCGGTTCCCAGGCTCTGGCAAAGGCATGCAAGGGACACTCACCATCCCCAGATGGCCTCTCTGGCCATACTTCCTGAGCTGGATGCGGTCCCTGCTCTCTGTGTCTGCAATTGAGGAGCCCATAGATGCAGCCTGTCGTCTCCAGATGGACCCTGTTATAAGGTGCATGTCCCCTGGGACCAGCCCTGTGGCTCTTTCCTCAAAACATAGTAATCTCGCACTCTTCTTCGTGTTTACAAAGCACGGCAGGATGGAGTGCAGGGTGCTGGAACACTCAGGCCCCTCCCTGAGTGAGCTGTGACAAGACGCCCCTGCTTAAAATCTGTGTTTTTTTCTCCACTATTTTCCAATCTAAGAAAATACTCCTTAGGATTTAGGTTGCTCAGGTTCTTCATCAACTCGAAGTCAATGCCGTCACGTTCTCACGCAGCATTCCCTCGTTCGGCAATGCTGGTTGAGTGCCGACCCAATGCCAGGAACTGGGCCACGTGCTGGCGTGCAGCCCTGACAGACCAGATCGAGTTCCTGACCTTGTGGAGACCAAGATTTATCAAACAACCCCACAAATTCCAACATATAAAGGGTGGCAAAACGAAGGCCAGGGAGGCACGAGGCCTTTTTGGAGAAAGAATCTCACATGTTTTGAGAAGCCCATGTGCCATCTTTTGGGGTCCCACCAAAAGGCTGTTTCCTTCTCGTGCCTCCCCCTAACCAGCCCCCACCTCCACCCCAGCATGCAGTGGCCATCCTCTCCCTGGAGCTCACTGTGTTCCTCTCTTCCAACTCGGTTAGCTTTTTGCTATGCGTTGTAGTTATTTATACCTCGTGTGAAGCTGGATTCCATCCTGGTGCATGGGGGAAAGCCTGAAGAGTTTTAAGCTGGGTGTTAACACTTCCCACTGGCTTCTTTAAAAGAATTTTTCACATTTTAGGAAGTAATTCTGCATATATACAGTAGAGAACGATCTAGTGGGGTCTTGGGTGCCCCCTACCTAATCAAACCCATTTTCACAGCAAAAGGTAAAAATATTCACACAAGGCTAAATAAGGATCACAGACAGCCTCAGCTTGGTTTTAACTCCAAAGGAGTTACCAAGGTTATGGGTTTTGGAGCTGTTTAGATTTCAGAATTGTGGATACAGGATTGAGGCCACTCATAAGAGACTGTAGCTGCCCTTGCAGAGCTCAGCGTCCACCTTTGCCTTCAACTTTCTGTAGAAAATGGCCAGAGTTGCCTGCTGAGCGCCACCCCCACCCAGCTCCTATAGAAGGTGAGGCTGGCAGCTCCCTGCATTGCCATGGCAGTGTAAACAGTGCTGTGGCATCGCCATCAGGAGGTAAAAATGTGCATGTCTTGCAGCGCTGCAAGCCCACTTCTAAGAGTCAGTCCTTAGGAAATAATTAACAGTGGGAAAATGCTTTTTGCACTGAGTTTATGATAACAGCCTAAGTCTGCAATAGAAGGGAAATGGTTAGTAAATTATGGAAAATTATAAAGCCAAAAAGAAAAATTGTGCGCTATATTGTGTAAGAACAGGGAAAATTTTTATAGCATTCCACAGTAAGTTACAAATAAAAGCAGGTTCAAAGTTGATGTATACTATCATTCCTCTATTTAAAAACCAACAACAAATTTGCACAAGAGGAAAGATTGGAGGGAAATATACCAAAATGCTAACTTTCATTTAGGTCTGTATAATAGAATAACAAGAGTTCTTTTCTTTCCTCTGTTTTCCAATTTTTTAAAAAAGTGTTAAAAACCAAGTGACCCTTTTTTATTTCACTAGCACCAATTCCCAGGAGTGAGTTCTGTTTCCATGGAAGGGGACCCATTTCTTGCACTCTTCATGCCATTTGAACCTCCTCCTCTCCTGGGGTCTCTAGATGCTTGGAATAGACTCCTACACCCCAAGCATACCCCCAGCTCCCAATTTGCCTTCCCCCTCTGGGGCGGGGGGCAGATAAGATGAAATTTATTTCTCCTTTTCTCTCTCCTCTGTAGGCTGGCCGCACAGCTTTGTCCATCGTTCTGAAATCACCCACCCATATGGAAATCGCAGGGCTTCTGTGGGCCCACGCGGAGCAGGGCAGGTCCCTGGGGCCATAGTGGCTGTAGAACTGGCACCCAGAACAAAAGGCTCCTTCTCTGGACTCCTCCCTCACCCTTGGAGAGGGCAGGGGTCACAGCTAGAGGGCCACCCCTCCAGAGAAGAAACTATGTCAAATATGCACATACATTCCTGTCGTGTAATTCTGCTCATTAGGACGCTTTGTAGTTTTTGCCTTAGGCCAAGCCCCACAACTACACGGGTTTCAGAACAGGGTTCAAGGTGCAAGGTGCGGGCTGCACTGGTGTCATCCAAAAATCCAAAGTATCTTCAGCCTTGAATTCCTCGTGACTCTACCCACTGTAGCACCGTGTAGCCAGCAGGTAGGCAGGAGCACAGTAGCACATTAGAAAAGCAATACTTTTTACATGGAATTTTAAAGTGCACTGTCTTTTTGTTTTTTAAAAAAGTATATATAAATGTGTCCCATTGAATATGCATGTCTAGAGAGGACGGGAGGGGATTTAAGCCACCCCGCTGGCAATCATTCTCTAGAGGACCCTAGCAGAATCACCACGCAGATGGGTGAAACAGAATAAGCTGAATAAGCCGCATTTGGGGGCTTTGTCTCAATGGCGTTGATGGAGAAGTCTTAAATTCAGAGGAGGCAGGAAGAAGCACATTGGTGTCAATGCCAAAGGTACAGGCTTGACCATTTCTGAGTCATCAAGTGGCTCCAATTTGCTCCAGGGAAATTAGAATTAATTAAAAAATTCAATCCAGTGACACGCACCACACATATTTAGGCAGAGTCCAGTGATATCAGCTATTCCGAACCTGTGAAAGAAATTAATGAATCGGAGTGAGCTTCCTCCTGGGGATGAGTGGTTGTCATCTAGAAGGCACCACATTTCCTGCATAGCCTCATCCACAGCCTCATGGTGATCCCCGGTGCTTTCTGCCATATCTTCTATGAGCGAACATCTGCCCTGAGGTTTTCCTAGGCTCCTGGCTGCAGAGCCTCCCAGCCTGGCTACAGCAGGAGCATGGGACTGGGCAGCGCAGGGCAGGGAGCTCCCTGGACTGACAGCTTTCTCCACTGGACGGTTCTTTCCGAAGCTTCCATATGCCCTGGGGCCCGCATCTGCATGGTTGCTATTCAGTAGCTCACTTAAGGGTTATCTGAGTGTGTTCTTTCTTAAAATCTCTTATGCAAAAAATCCTCCCTTACAAAAACAGAGAGACAAAAAAGCTTGATGCGCCCCACACTGGAAACTCAAAAGCTTGAGTTCTTAGTTGGCTAGGATTTGCCAAAATGCCGATTTGCTCGGTGCCCCTTGGGTGAATCAAAGCTTCCTTGGGCCCCAGTTCCATCACCTCTAAAAACAGAAATCTTCATACGACCTACCTCCTGGGGTGCTGCGCAAGGAGCAGCTGATGGAAGTTTTGGAATCCAATTTGTAACCCATTCAAGCTGTCTACAGAACTGGTGCAGCAAACTTCTTTATGCCATTGTGATTTATAAGACAGGCTCCAAGTCCCAGAGCAGGAACAGTGACATGTGTTGATGCTGCTCAGAGGTGCAGAGAATGGAGCAAATGAGCTAAAAATACTTTAAGTGGGTTTATTTTGACCTCAAAACACATTGTAAGAGCAAAAGCCTACATTAATCAGTGGTCTAGCCCAGTGCTTTGCGTACATGTATGTGCATACAAATCACCCGGGATCTTGTCGGAAAATGGTAGGTCTGGAGTGGGGCCTGAGAGTCTGCGTTCCTAACCAGCTCCCGGGAGATGCTGATGCTGCCGGGCCACAACCACACTTTGGGTAGCGAGGCTCTGGCCTCTCCTCATTGTTTGTATATTAAAATGCTGCCTCTCAATCTTTTGTCTCAAAATTTCTTGGCATTTCTGTTCTTGGTTCTTGGGAATTTGCAGTGTGGGTCTTCTCTGTCATTGTGTCTCTGCGGACAGCAGGGGGTCTATGTCCTATGTTGCCAGCTTACAATGTATTTCTGTATCTCACCTTAGAGTGGCAACTTTCATTGGGTAACTTTTTTTAATATTTCATTTGAATCCAACTATTAACAACAACTTATTTACCAGAGAAAGCAAACTGGTTTTCCTAGAGTTTGAAGACTAGTACTCATCATTGTCAAAAAGACTCTGTCCATCCTTTCTGAGATTTTTGACAATTTTCTTTTAATCTTGAGTTTTGAATGTTAATACATGATCTCCTCCCTCGTAACCACCACTTCATTCCATTGGAATTTCTCATCCCAGGATGTGGTGAGACAAACAGCACAGCCTGCCTCCCTGTCGCTGTCCCTCGGCTCCGAAATTCATTCAATAAGTATTTATTGGAACTGCCAGATGCCTGACACTGTTCCCAACATCAGAGACATCACAGTGAGCACAGTTCAGTCTCTTGCCTTCCCCTCTGCTAGAGAAATCCAATAGAAGGTGAGAGGGAAGCCCAGAGTACTACGTGGTACTAATAAAGGGCAGCAGAGGCTGGGCAAGGTGGTTCACGCCTATAATCCAAGCCCTTTGGGAGGCCAAGGTGGGAGGATCATTTGAGGCCAGAGACCAGCCTGGGCAACATATTGAGACCCTATTGCTACAGAAAATAAGAAAAATTAGCCAGGCATGGTGGTGCATGCCTGTAGTCCCAGCTACTCAGCATCAGGAGGATTGCTTGAACCCAAAAGTTCAAAGCTGAAGTGAGCTATGGTTGCACCACTGTACTCCAGCCTGGGCAACAGAGCAAGATCCTGTCTCAGAAAAAAGGATGGGGGTGGGGTGGGGGGAGACCAGAGCTGGTCTTAGGAAATTAAGAGCAGCTTCCTGGAGGAATGGTATCTGAACTGAAAACTTAGAGATTAGTGGACATTAGCCAGAAAAGGACGAGAAGTGAGAGGTAAAGAGAGGCGAGTGTGTCAGGCAGAGAGAATCGCACTGCCGAGGCTGAACGAAGGGAGAGCAGACATTTGGGGACCTTGTGTTTGGGACACTGAGATCAAAGGGTGGATTTTTAAAAGATGAGACTGAAAATACATGGGGACCAAACCAGAAGGTTCTGTAAAAGCTGTGGGAAGGCTTTATTCTAAAGGTGATGGAAGCTCTTAAAAATCAGATTTAAGACTGAGAAATCCATTCCTTTAATCCTCATTTAACCCATATTTATCAGGTACCTACTCCCTTCCAAATACTGTGTTTGGGGCTGGGCTATGCTAGTGGGTAAGACAGGCACAGCATTTGCAGCAGTTTAGCAGCAAAGGAGGACAAACTTCCATGGAGTACGAGACATGTTGCACCTGGGAGAGCACAGGGTGCCAGGGGGGTGCATAGGTGGGGCCTTCAGCCTAGTCTCGAGCACAGAGGGGTCCAGGAAGGCTTCCTGAGGAATATTTAAGCTCTCGGAAGGAGGTGTAGGAGTTAACCAGGAAAAGAAGAGCAGGAGAACGTTCCAGGCAAAGGAAGGAGCATGACTAAAGCTCCAAGATGAGCAAGAACATAGATTTGGGACATTAAAAGGACGTCAGTGTTCCTAGAGAAGGAAGGAAAGGGAAGGAAGATAAGGCCAGAAGGAAAGCCACAGTAACAAGTTTGGACCCAAGTTTGGAACTCAGGAAGCAACGCTCAGATTTACTTTTTGGAAAGAGCACTCCAGTTTTGTTAATATGAGTGACATTTATTCAACAGACATTTGTGGACGATCTATTCAGGGTCCTGCTTTGGTGGTGGGGGAGACGGATGTAGGCTAAGACAACTATGAAATGTATAAGCGGTGAAGGTCTGAATGGTGCGGCGGAGACTGACTTGGACAGAAAGTCAGGGAAACCTCCTAGAGGAGGTGGCTTTTGAGCTAAGCCATAGGATGTGCAGGAGTTTGCCAGGGTATTCTAGATAGAACAGCAGGTGTAAAAATATAGCATGTGAGGCCAGGTATGGTGGTTCATGCCTGTAATCCCAGCACTTTGTGATACCTCTGCACTCTAGCCCTGGCAACAGAGCAAGACCCTGTCTCAAAAAAAAAAAGGCAGCGTGGAGGGGGGTGGGATATGGCATGTGAAAAGCCATGGCCTGTCTGGCTATGGAGAGAATTTCAGAATGACCTAAATGTCAGTTACATGGGAGAAATGACTGGAGAGGAGATTTGAGAGGGATGTCCAGAGACACAAGTCCCTTGTATGATGATATTAAAAATGTGGTTGGGGCTGGGCGCGGTGGCTCACACCTGTAATCCTAGCACTCTGGGAGGCCGAGGCGGGTGGATTGTTTGAGCTCAGGAGTTCGAAACCAGCCTGAGCAAGAGCGAGACCCCGTCTCTACTAAAAATAGAAAGAAATTAATCGGACAACTAAAAATATATAGAAAAAATTAGCCGGGTATGGTGGCACATGCCTGTAGTCCCAGCTACTTGGGAGGCTGAGGCAGAAGGATCGCTTGAGCCCAGGAGTTTGAGGTTGCTGTGAGCCAGGCTGGTGCCACCGCACTCACTCTAGCCTGGGCAACAAAAGCGAGACTCTGTCTCAAAAAAAAAAAAAAAAATGGGGTTGGTTTTGTGGTTTCTGTTTTTGTTTTTTGTAGAGATGGGGTCTCACTCTGTCACCTAGGCTGGAGTGATCTTCCTGCCTCAGCCTCCTGAGGAGCTACCAGGGCCAGCTAATTTTTTTATTTTTTGTAGAGACGGGGGTCTCACTGTGTTACCCAGGCTGGTCTCGAACTCCTGGCCTCAAGTGGTCCTCCCACCTCGGCCTCCCAAATTGTTGGGATTATAGCAGTGAGCCACCACACCTGGCCAATATTAGGAATTTGGACTTGAGCCTGTAACTTGAGGGAGAATAAAAGACCCCTTTGAGAATACAAAGTTCTCTTCAGAAAAATGCACATCTGTGCAAAATTTGCATGTTAACTTCAGGGATTCAAAAATCTGCACTTAATTTATTTTTGTTTGTTTTTTTTTTATTTTTTGGTGCTCTACATGTTCAGAGAAACTTCTCTAGTAATGAACTATTGAAATGATCCCTGAAAGTATGGTCTTTCAAAAATCTGTA